AGAAGCTACCCTCATGCCAGGTTCCCGGATCATGAGGACTTACTAAGACGTTTTCTACTCGACGACCACCTTTCGAAAGGCAACAGTGAGGCGTACCCTAGGGGTGGTGTGTGCGAATCGTGTGTCATGTTCATTGATATTTGTCTTGTCATGTTCGTCGTGTTCTACGCTTGATTTTAATTAGACATTCATTCTTTCATGCTCGATTAACAGTTAGGAGTGCGGAAAAGATAAATCTACGACTATTACAAAGGCGCGGGTCCACATCGCCAAAATTAAACCGGACCCGATTTAGCGGAAAAATAAATAATGCGAAGAAATAAAGTGCGAAAGGTAAATTACAATGCTTTGGGGCAATTACATAATTATAATAAGCGGTAATAAAATAAATGCGCGAGATTAAATAATTAACAGTGACGGGCGTTGGACCCTTTTTGCAAGAATAATTAAATTAATAAGAATTAAAAATTAAATGATTAAATGTTTTTTGGTATTTTGTATTTTTAGATTTAATGAGAAAAAAGGAGAATTAATTAAAATTAAATTAAACGGCAAACCCTAATTCTAATATTTTTTATTTATTAAGAAAGAATTAAAATATGACCTAAATTAACCCTAATTCATTTATGTACAATTTAATTGGGAAAATAAATAAATAAATAATAATTATTGTTGTTCTAAAAAAAGGGAAAAAATATTAAAAGGAATAAAAAATAGCAATTAACCTAATTCTACATTTTTTGGATTTTTATTAAAAAGGATTTAAAGTTGAAAGCCTAATTACACTAAATAATCTACATTTTAATTTATTTATGAAAATAATTATTATAAAATAAATATTATATTTTTTTGTATTTTTCTGATTTTTAGTGTTTTTATATTTTTTGTAGACAAAATTAATTAATTAAATTGAGATGACAAATTAAATAAAATTGCAATGAAAGAAAATAAAATATAAACATGAATAAGAAAATGCAAACCAGGGGGGGGGGGTTCAGGCCCCAGATGGAGGTGTTGGTCCAAAGATCAGGCCCAATAAGCATGGAAGTTCGTTGACTTCTCCAATTAGATATGATGCGTTGACTGTTGTATATGACGTTCTTTGAATCCTGACCCTTGATTTGCAGGCAGCTGGACGCGTGTTCCCTGGATTTTGAGCGTGCATGGTATGCTCTAATGAGGAATCTGCATGGGAATTGATTTGGAAAAATAATATGGAATTATTCAGACCTGGGGTTCGAACCCAGGTCTTGGAGATTGCACGCTTCTATCCCTGCCACTGAGCCATGTGATCTTCATTTAATATATAATAATACATAAATAATATAAAAAGAACGCGTTAGTGCTTATGAGAATTCGCGCGAAAATTTAAACTGTCCAATGGTTGATGAACACGTCTTCGTCTCCTTCCCCACCCTGTAAAACAAAACTCAAGGGGAACGGTTTTTTCAGCGTGGTTTAAAGATGCCTATGGGAAAATAGCGATTAGCACCCTGTGCTTCATAAATTGTTCGCGAGGGTCCAGGTTGCTTCGTCTCAACCTGCTTAAGCCATTGGCATGGGTCTGGGATCGTGATTTTTCCTTAGTCAGAAACCCCCAAATCTGAAACCTGCAAACCCTAGTTTTTTGACAATGGCGAAAGCATAAATATGGCACGAAAACTCAATTGAACATATTGGTTAGCACAGAAACATCATGACAAACAATAATCCACAAAGAAAAATGCAAGAGGATGCTTAAATCGTGCTATGCAATTTCAATATTTTCTTGGTTCAGTTTGATTCGTGGGTACCAATTCAGGGCCTTTTTGTTGTTGTTATTGATTGAGAAAGGTTCAAGAATGCCTCAGGATGCTATTGAAACAAAAATCCAAGCTTGAATCGTCCTAAAAGCTAGATTTCAGTGTTTGAGTTTTTTGTGAATTTTTCAATGTTGTAATGCTTGTTCATGCGCAGCTTTTTGTCTAGGATGATTAGGGTTGTGATGCTGATCATATATGGAGTGATTTAGGTTAAGAAAATTAGACAAAATCTTATGCATTGATGAATTCAAATATTTGATTTTGTTAAGAATCTTTTCACATCTTTTTTCATGGTTTTTGTGTCAATTAGGTTCAAATCAATCCAAAACTTGATTAATTGGGATATACACGAAATATTGGATCCAAACATGTATGAAAAGATTTATTTTGGTCAAGATTATATTTTTCATGAATTAAAATCATTTAAATGAATATAAATTAATATTAATTCAAATAAATAATTAAAAAATATGAGAATACTTCCCTTTGGGCCTAGTGGTCGTGCATAGGCTTGGCATGAAGAAATTTGGAAGATAATTGGGCCCATTTGCATTTTTAGGCCTTTTGCATCAATGTTGACTTTCAAAAATTTCCAAAAATTTCCCAACTTCCACAAGGCATAACTTGGTCAATTTTTAAGCTTTTCACATGTTCTTGGACATTTTGGAAAGGTCTTTGAGTCCTTTAACCAATGCCTTTGGTCCCATGTCATTTTGATTTACCAATCTCAAGTTATGGCCTTTTGACTTAAAGTCACTTTTTGTTGACTTTTGAAAATGACCTATAATGTTGAAATTGATAACTTTTTGTGAGAGCATTTCTTGGACTTGGAACATGAAGATGAATTGTAGGAAATGTCTTTCTCTTCAAAATGAGCTTTGGATGGAATTTTTCTGATAATCCATGTGAAATTTATGCCCTGGTCAATTTCAGTTGACTTTTTCAGCTGTCCAAATATAGCAACTTTTGCATCTTTGATGATTTCTGAGCCAAATTTTGAGAATCATGATCAAGCATTGATCAAATGATGTTTGTGGCTTCAAAATGACATATTGACCAAAAATTTGAACTTTTGACTGTCAAATGACCATTTTGCCCCTACAGTTGACTGTAGTGCAATCTAGGGTTTTGACTGTGCCATTTTGAGCTGAATGCCTTGAAACTTGACATGAGGATGCCTGACCACATTTGTAGGCATATGAGACTTGATTGGGCCTTTGAAAAGTTCATTTGCTTGACCAGAACTCAAACCCTAGTTTTGACTGTCTAGGAGACAGTTGAGCTGCACAACCCTTGGGGCATTTTTGTGACCTTGACTTTGACAATTCTTGATGAATATGGGAGGGCAAATTTTGGGGTACAACAATATCATTTTGAAGAAATTGATCTAACAAACAAATCATTAATCCAACTACGTATATTTTTTAAATTAAAAATATTCTCTCTTATTTCAAATATAAAACTCATGTGAAAATTCAAATACAATAAAATATTTTTTGTTTTTCTAAAATTATAGCAATAATAATAGTAACACTTGAAAAAGATATTTTTAATCTTAGAGTAGTTATTACCTAATTTTCAAGTATGAGTCACTTTAAACTTATTTAAAATATAATATAATATGCATAAATTTTTTACGGTGTCTATATACTTTACTACTATATTTTTTATATAATATCAAATAATAAACTAATGACAAATAACAAAATACTATACAAAAGAGAATTCAAACATAATAAAATGTTTGTATCTTATTTTGGACAAAATGGTCTAACAAGACAATCATTATTCCAGCTATGCATATTTCCTTATATTAATAATATTTTTCTCAAATTTCAAAAATAAAAGAGATGTCAAAATCCAAACACAATAAAATATTTTTTGTTTTTCTGAAACTATAGCAATAAAAATAACACTTGACATTAATGTTTTTAATCTTAAGGTAGTTCTTACACAATTTTCAAATATAAGTCACTTTAAATTGATCTTAAAAAATAATATAGTATACAACAATTTTATAAAGTTCGACAAAAATAGATAAGTGCAAAAAAATATTTCAAATATAAAAGAGATTTGGAAATTCAAATAAAATAAAATATTTCTTGTTTTTATGAAATTATAGCAATAAAAGTAACAATTGAAACAAATATTTTTAATCCTAAAATAGTTCTTACATAATTTTTAAGTATAAGTCACTTTAAATTTACTTAAAATATAATATAGAATGCAACAATTTTTTACAATACCTATATATTTTACTATTTTTATATAATATCAAATAAGAAATTAATGACGAATAATAAAATATTATACAAAAGAGATAAGAGAATTCAAACATAATAAAATGTTTTTATTTTATTTTGGATAAAATGGTCTAACAAGCCAATCATTACTCCAACTATGTATATTCTCTTATATTAAGAATATTTCTCTCAAATTTCAAAAATAAAAAAGATGTCAAAATCCGAACACAATAAAATATTTTTGGTTTTTCTTGAAATTATAGCAATAAAAATAACACTTGACATAAATGTTTTAAATCTTAAAGTAGTTCTTACACAATTTTCAAATATAAATCACTTTAAATTGATCTTAAAAAATAATATAATATACAACATCTTATAAAGTTTGACAAAATATACATAAATTTTATAAAATTATTAAAAGTTTTATTGATAATAATTATAAATAAATTTTTAATTTAATTTAACACTAAAAATAAATAAATATATTTAACAAATTAAATTAAAATATCTAAATAAAAGATAAGTGCTAAAAAATATGAGAATCAAAACAAAATAAAAAAACAATTTTATAGATATATAAATTTACAAATCTAAATTACAAATATCACTTTCAATTTACACGCATATATTTTCTTTTTAAATGAAATTATATTTATATATATAAATAATTTATATTATTGTCTCTATTATAATTTTTTTTTTAAATTTACAATATAAATTTAATAATTATATTTTGTCAAAACCAACATTTTTTTAAATATATTTAATATTCAATAAAAAATAAATAAGTTAATTTACGGCCACTTTTTAATCTAGTATTAATAAATTTTTAGTCATACATGTCATGCAATTTTTTCAATGAGATTTCAAAGTGAGGAGATATTTTAGACATGTACCCCACAATTACGCTACTTGAGTCTTGAATTGAGTAAAAGAAAGATCTTCAAGTGACGTGTCTTCTCCTCTATCGCTACCAAAATATCCTAACACGGCCGTTCCCCTTCCTTTTTTTTATTGCACTTTTTCTCTCTCTTTTCTACGTCCCTCTTCTCCTACCTTACTCCATGTGCGCACAGCGCACCCCCCTCCCGCGTATTTTAGTCACCGCCACCATTTCCCGATTAACCTCTTCTTCACATCAAATATCTTCATCCCTGTTCTCTTCTCACGCCAAAATCAAGCCTAAGTTCCAACGATGGTTCAGCTTTTCGAAATCATCGAATTTCAATTTTTATGATATATATAATTTTACCAAGTTCTGCTAACATGCGCCATCGGAACGTAGCCGTTTGATCTCCGTCCGTTCTGGCTTTGTCGGATTCAGAGTTCTTAGTTTATAGATTAAATCAATGGTTTTGCAGAGTGAGATTTTGGGAAGGTGAAGGGTTTTTGTGTTGAATAGTATTTTTTTTTTTTTTGGTATGGAGAGAAAGGGGATTGATTTGAATAGAGAAACAAGTGGTGTGAATAATGATAAGATTGGTGATGGTTTTGTTGATAGAAGTAAAGTAAGGATTTTGTTTTGTGATACTGATTCAGATAGTTCTCAAGAGGTTGTTACACTTCTCTTGAGATGTTGTTATCAGGGTATGTATGAATCTACTATCAACTTTGTTTTTTTTAGATCTCATGCTCTATTTTGTTGATTATCTATGGTTTTTGTTATTGCTTTGCTAATGTGTGTGTCAAGTGTGTTGATTATCTATTTGGATTTGTAAGTGTAGTAGAGATGACGAGGATTGCGTGGGATGTGGTAAGACTACATATGATAGGATTATAAATAAAAATATTAGTGGGTTGGGGTAATATCTATAGTAGAAAAGATAGTAGAAAATAGACTTAAATGTTTGTGCATGTTGAGAAAAGACATGAAGATTTTGTGGTAAGGAGAGTATATTAGAAAGAGAAAAGTCAAATAATTAGAGAAAGAAGAAAACCTAGCAAGCCTATAAGAGAAATTATTAAGAAAGATTTCGAGATTAACAATTTGGATATGAGCATAATCTTGTATATAACATTATAGTGGAGTTTGATCATGTAGCCCGATCCCACCTAGTGGGATAAAGACTTGGTTGTTATTGTTGTTGTATGCTGACCATAATCAGGGTGTTAGGGAAAGGTTTGTGACTGTAATATTGAAGTTGTGACATCAATGATTTTGATGTTTATCTGGCCTCGATGTGATCATGATTTAGATGTGTCAGTCACCTTTGACTGTGATTCTCTGCTGTATGAAGGACCGTGTCTAAAAAATGATTTAAAAACTGAGCCAATATCTGAAAGGATTGTTTTAGTCATTGAAGTTTCTTTCTTTAGTACTCCCTCCGTTTCAAAATGAGTGTCGTTTAAGGTTTTTGCACACAGATTAAGAAATATAATAATGTTGTCACAAAACATTGCACTTTTACTAAATTAACCCTATAAATATATTGGAAGTAGTGTAAAGTATAAAAATCAAAGAACACAATTGAAAAAATAACAATCATTTCTACATTGAAAAGTGAGAATGACATTCATTTTGAAACAAATTTTATATGCTAAAACGACACTCATTTTGAAACGGGGGAGTAATTGATTTCGATTAGTGATTGACATTATAATAATATTTTTCCATCTTTGAAGCCCATTTGTTGAATATGTAACGTTTAGATGTACATGATTTCCATCCGGTGTTTTTTCTAGTTGAGTTTGAGAAATTTGTTACTCTTCACAAATTTTTGGCATGGCATTATGGTTGGATTACCCACCGTCTTTTTGCCATAGGCTGCAATGCCATGTTGATATGGCAGATTTTTGTCTGCCCGTTATAATCTACTATCCATCCACCACTGATAACACCGAGTCTAAGATTTTGCTTTTAAAATCATTGTATAAACGCCTAAAGAAGCTTTTTCTATCAGTTAAAAATTGGTTATCTTGATTTTTTTTTATATTCCTAGGGTGTGATATGATTATTTCTATAATCGTTGATTTTCATGCTTGACAGTTATTTCAGTGAAGTCAGCAAGACAGGTAATTGATGCACTGAATGCAGAGAGTGAAAATATAGATCTCATACTAGCTGAAGTTGGCCTTCCGAAGAAGAAGGGTATGAAGATGCTGAAATACATAGCCCGAGACAAGGAATTGCGCAGAATTCCTGTTATAAGTAAGATTTGGTTATTTACTTTGTTCTGACAAACCAGTATAACTCTTGAATTTAAGCAAATTACATGTTCAGCTCCTCATCGCGTTGTTAATATCTTGTTTTGACAAGTGATATCCGCACAAGATGAGGCATCTGTTGTTGTCAAGTGCTTGAAACTTGGAGCAGCGGACTATCTAGTAAAGCCTTTACGCACAAATGAGCTATTAAATTTGTGGACACACATGTGGAGAAGAAGACGCATGGTTTGTATTTTTCAACTTCATACCTATTGATCTTCATAATTTTTATTGTTCATCCATCCTATTATTAATTTCCCACCAACTTACTTTAAACTTTGAGCAATAAGAAATGGACGCCAAAGACTATATAACCTATGTGGATTTACACCTTTGTTTTGCGCGGTCAGCTTTCATCATCACGATCATGTCAAAAAAAGAAGCTTTCACCATCACAACCATTGTATTTAGAAAATTAAATGCATGATTTCCAATTTCATTTTCATTTTAGTATTTGTTTCTTGTTTTTACTTTAGTTGAAGAAATGTTTGCCTTGTTTTCACTTTGTTTTCTGTATCTAGGGCTTCATATTGTTTTCACTGTTTCCTTGTGTACAAATCTTCGAAAACAGGAAATTGAGTAGGTATTTTTGTAATTAAAGGACAGAAAGAAAATCAAACATCCCTTAGATTGTCAAAATTTAAACCTTATTTGAGCAAGGATTTGAATTACGTTTGAAAGCTTTGTTTACACCTATATGTTATGTTTATTACACTCTTTTTTGAAAGAATATTTATTACACATTTCTTATGCACTTAAATGAGTAAAAAATATGGTCAGCATTTTGAGAGTTTCTGTGGTAAGTTGAGTTTGATCTACCTGCCTACCTCAAATTGAAATAGTTTTTGTATTTATGCTGGCAGCTTGGGCTTGTAGAGAAGAACATGTTAAATTATGAATTTGACCTGGTAGCATCAGAGCCTAGTGATGCCAATACAACTAGTACCACTTTGTTCTCTGATGACACCGATGATAGGTCCAAAAGAAGCACCATTCCAGAGGCAGGAACGTCATCTCAACAAGAGCATGAGGTGAGCGTTAAAAAGTAGTATTTAAATAACAGTTGTCTTATTTGAAACATCAAATAAATATAGATACTGTATGCGTCTATGTGATGCCGTATATGTTTAACCCTATCTGTCTCTTACTTCTTTAACATTTCATAAATCCACACAAAAACCAAATGACACCATGCTTGACATCAAATATTTGATGTCAACAATAATTTCTCTAAATAATGCAACAATTTATGTAAGCATGTGAATCCTGGTAAACCTTGAAATATATTAATCTATGCACAGGCGATTTTTTAATTCCACTTTGGAGTCACTTTGCAACTTATTCCACCTTTTAGAATGCAAACTCTTACATTGTCATGCTTGCACGTTAATGTTTCCATATCACCTTTTCAATGTAAATGTGATATCAAGTCTAATGCTGCTCTAGAGGTTGAATTATATACCCCACAGGTTATCAGTATGATAAATCACTACAGAGTAAATACAAATGACCAATTTTAAAAGAATACAAATAGCTATTCAGATCCAATTATGAAGTTCATAGAATTCTGAAACTCTAACAGTGCCCCACACAGAATCATTAGGTAATCCAATTGTGTAAAAACTAGAAACAGATGTAAGTATTGTGCATAAAAAATGGGTGTGAGATGATTTGGAATTACTTAAATATCTTTTTATTCACCCAGCTACTGCTTAACGGAAGCAGATATTGTTGTATAGCTGCTTATTACTTCATATCAGAGATGCTTTCATATGTAGCTATTTCAATGTATATAGTTTACCTTATCAGTCTACTATTGCAAATGCCGCTGCTGTTGAGGAAGCTCCAGATGACCATGCTTCTGAATGTCAGCCTGATGCCCATGGAATAAATGATCAGAGGACGGGTGTGCTTCTCTTTACTCGTCTTTCATATAATTATTATTTTTGCATTAGCATTGAAGTTGTAGTGTAATGGCCAGCTACCTCAAAAATATTGTTAGAAGTTAGAACAACTCATTGTGGTTATTGAATTCCATAAAATGAATTAAATTTAGTTTTCTCATATTTCCCCCACCTTTTAGGTAATTTTATTTCTAATTGTATAGTTGTTGATGTAACTGAATCATTACTTGTGGTAATTCGTGCAATTACTTGTGGTAGTTTGTGCCCGCCTTCTATAGTTTTAGGAATCTCAAAATGTGTATTCGTAAATGGGGATTCCCTGGGGGACTGCCTCATTCAGGGACCTGTGGGCGGAGAATTTTTTCCTGGGGGACAAGAATGGGGGAGGAAGTCATTGACATCACTATATTGCTCCATAGTTTCTAATCTAAAATGGCTTTAATCTAAGAGGGATTTTTGAGTTCCTGATACTGAACAAAATATTATTTTACTTGCATGATATGCCGTTTCCATTTTTTTGTTTTCTCTCTGATTATGCTAGTAATTCTGTAGAACATTTTTCATCTGGTCTAAAGAAGAGTGAACTAAGGATCGGGATTGGGGAGTCATCAGCCTTCTTCACATATGTTAAAGCATCAATGCTAAAGAGAAACATTGAAGGGATCATTCATGTTGACAACAATCCTGCTGAACATGTGATGGAAGTTATGCATCAACAAGGGGTTAATGACCTTGAATTACGTGAAAATGGAGAGATGTGTGACAGTCAATCGCAAGATGACTTCCCCGGCAGCAATAGTATACCTGATTTTTTATCTATTGAGAGATCTTGTACTCCACCTTCATCTATGGAAGCTTCACATCAAAACGGTTACAGGGAAGAAAATTTGAATCACAACCGTCTGAGACATCCAAGAAACGGAACAACTTGTTCCGAGCTTGAAATGTCAAACATGGTCGCACGGCATGCTTATCCATATTATATGCCGGGAGTTGTTAATCATGTTATGATGCCTTCAGTGGCACAAATACATCAAAACAATGACCTGCAGAATCATGCTGTGGCATCTATGATTGCCCAGTACAATCATGTTCCACAAGGCAGTCCTCATGCCACCGGTATGATGTCTTACCCATATTACCCGATGAGTATGTGCTTACAACCTGGTCAGATTTCTACACCTAATTTATGGCCAACCTTTGGAGGCTCAAATCCATCTGAAGCAAATATAAGTAAAGTTGATAGGAGAGAAGCAGCGTTGATTAAATTCAGACAGAAAAGGAAAGAGCGCTGCTTTGATAAGAAAATCAGGTATGTCAACCGAAAACAACTTGCTGAAAGACGGCCTCGTGTGAGGGGGCAGTTTGTCAGAAAGTTGAATGGTGCTAATGTGGATCTTAATGGACAGCCTCCTTCCATTGAATTTGATGAAGATGATCAAGAAGATGGACAGCCTCCTCCCAGGGATGGTTGAATGCGACGATTTGCTATGTCATCTGAACAATGAAGGACCAATCAATTCCTGTATTATCCTGTCAAGAATCTGCCTATATTCCTTGCTTCATTGGAAGTTTATGCATAGGCATTAATCATCATCACTTACTTTCATATGGGGGGATTGCAGATCCAGTGTATAATTGCTTCTTCATTGATCTGTATACCTGGATGTGCGATGCAGTTGAAAGCATCATACCATGCTTATGTTTGATTGAACTGATAAAAGCAGGCTGTGCTTTCATATTTTATTGTCAAGACACATTAAAATTTTCTTGATGAATGAGTTACTGTCCAATATTCTAGTCTAAATCAAAACTTTACAACTAATCTAAAAGCCTTTTCACCCTTGATTTCTCTTTGTACCGTTTCTTTTACCCTCAATTCTAAAATCATTTTTTGATGGGACCTGGTGTTCTTTTCACGTAGGAAGAAAGGAAAAGCAGGACACTGTATTTGAACACTAGAGTAGAATCTAATGTTGACTGGCCACTGTTTTGAAAACTTGAAAGGAATGATATGCAATGTTCAGAGAAATTGCCAAGGTTTTCCTCGTACTTTAAGTAGCTGGAATTGATGGTTTAATTATGGGGTTTATAAAAAATTAAAACTTCTACTGGTTTTATTATTTTGTAACAATTATTAATATGGTAAACATTGTTGTCTAAACTTTAAACTAAAATATTTAAATAAAGATTGAGTAGGTGGATTCAGTGGTTTAATTAAAAGTGAATTGTTCAGGCACAACAAATTAGCTCCTCTAAAGTCTAAAATGAATTGTTCGAGCATAGCACATTAAAATATCCACTGTTTTTTATCAATGGTTTACTTTTCATTAATGGTTGAGTTGTTCTATTGAAATTCACTTTTAAAAAATATTTATTGACGTCAAATTATTGCTATTTTTTTTGGAATATTGCCAAATTCTCTGCTGTTATTTACAAATGCTAGTCCATAGCATCATAAATGTAATTGAACAATGAAGCATAAAAGACCATAACTCTCTTGAAACACCGTCACATTGATGAGCAGCAACTAATAAAAATCTGAGATACACCTAGATAGCAATCAAAGTTAGCAGGCTAATGTGTCGGCTTAAAATATAGAATTAATATGATTGCAAGGGCCAGAGCTGCCATCAAGGAGCCAACAATCCATTTGTTCCTGCTCATCCTTTTTGACATGGCTGCCAAAATCTTCTTGCTCTTGCTAATGTTATCATCCACTCCATGGAGCTGGATGAGGAAAAAAAATCAGCTCATATGAAATATTAGAAGCGCGGGGAAAACAGTTTTAAATAGCAAAGTGTCTTGTATAGGTGTATCTACTAGTTGACCTTGAATATCAAAAGCTAAATCATTTGGACAGAAAGGGGCCAATATATTACAAAATGGAAATCTAAATGTAGAATGCTGGAACTTACTGATGAATGGGCATGGAGTAGAGACTGGCGTTGTTGATGCAAATCTTGGAGGATAGAGACACCTAGCTCCTCTGTCTCCAGCAATGTTTTTCTGCTGTTTGTTATTCTATCAGTGGATTGATTTAATCTCTCGGTAGTCACTAAAAGTCTTCCTTTTTGATCATTTGATGCCTGTTCTAGCATTCATAAGTAGCAATGAAAATACATAGTAAATGAAGCGACATAAAATACACAGGTTAAATTCAAATGTCAAAAGAATTCAGTCCATTTATATAAGTACCATACTCGCTTGGAGGATCATGTTTGAAAAATACATGACTTCCACTAAGAAAAGTTTTCTTTTTACTAGTTGTGTTAATATTTTTCTACTTTACCAAGGTTTGAATCTCGGTCCTTAAACTCTTACAACTCTTTTAATTTAATTTAGTCCAAACCAGTTGAGCTACCTAAGTGCACTAAGAAAAAAAAAAATCCTTTATAACAGCATAATTTACCACTATCCTGATCTCAGAGCTCCCATTAGTATCTTCATTTTCTTGCATGCGTAGCAATAATCTAAACTAACAGTTCAAAAAGAATAAGATTGACAGCTATTAATAACCGAGGAAGGATGAATAAGAGACATACCGCAAGTGAATCAACCGTTCCTAACTCCAACAACTCTTCTCGAGAAGTCGTACTGACATTTGTTGATGTGATTCTTTTAACTTCATTTTTCAAATTGTTCAAATCAGTTTTATATTCCCTTAATTTGGCAAGAAGGGTGGCCTTGATACTTGGCTGCAAGCTTCTAGCCTCAAGGTCCATTTTCCGAATCTGAAAATTTTCAAACAGAAATTATTAGAGTCAAATATCAGATAGGGAGGAGGACGAGGAGAGAGGTTCAATTATACCAACGTATCAGCTTCCTCCAATCCAGCTTTTGTTTCAGAAAGTTTCTGCTTCTTCTGTTCTACAGCAGAAAATGGTAACATACAAGTCATTAAGAGGAAAAATATAATTCTTTGCGTGTGCGGAGAAGGGGAACAATCAAACTGGCAACCTTAACAATTTAGCTTAAGCCTCTTCAATGAAAACAATTCAATATAAATAAATCATTACAAGGAAATGCTCTTCAATTAGCATTTCACTCAGAACTGGCCTTAGATGTGTGTTAATGTTTCACATAACATACTCTTAATTTCACAAGCAGAAACTAGCTAAATTGAAATTTTAAGATTATATAAAGTATCACATAGACTAATTGCAATATGCCAGACAACAGCTTTAAAAATGAAGCATTTAGCTTCCAAGGACGAGCAATGAGTGGCCATAGAAGCTAAAAAATTCACACTGCTCTGTATTCCCAAGCGGGAGATCTCAATCAAGCAAGTTCACGCACATGATTATAGCGAAGAACAATGTTAGGACTATGTGGCCTGGTTTATCTTTGTGAGAAACTAGAAGTTGATTTTTTTTCTGTCTTTCTAACGGGTTCCATAGTTTTTTTGTAAGGAACGAAGATGAGACTTCACTCTTAAAAAGAAACACCCATGAAGGACAATTGAGGGTAAACTTCAATCCCACAACATCTTTACGAACTAACTAATCAAAAGTACAACTACCCTTTCTATAAAAACATTCAATGAACCAATTTTGCAATGGAGTTGACTTTACACAACCTAGCAAACTGTCAATAGAAAACTGTTTAAGGAGTTAAGTAGCTATTTGGTTTCGAAAAATGTTTTGCGTTTTCACTTTTACTTGCAATGTACAATCTTGTCCCCTTATTTTAATTTTGTCTCCTATACAAATATTTGAAAACATGAAATGTGACCAAAATTATTCAACAAAATCTTATCCCATTAAACGGGGTCGGTTACATAAATTAATTTCTACCATAATGTTTTATCCAATACCATGTTTCTATTCAAATTGTTAATCTCGATATCTTTTTAAATAACTTCTCTTATAGTTTTTTTAAGTCTTCCTCTAGCTTTAGTTATTTGACTCCTTTCCATCTGATCTACTCTCCTTATCACAAAAGCGTGTGTTTGGTTCAGCGGTGAAAAGAATTGATTTTGAATGAATTAATTATAGAAAGTGGGTTGAAGATAAAGTAATTTAGGTTTGGATAAATTTATATATAAGTGAGTTGAACAAATGTAAAAATCATGTTTAAATTCAAAAGCTACAAATTCTACTTTCAAGTAGAATCAATTTTAGAGGCAAAAGCAATTCTGCTTTAGAATAACCAAACATCTAAAAATCAATTCTACACCTCTAAAGTTGTTTTTGTCTCTTCCAAAAGTTAAACCAAGCATACACTAAGACTATGTTTGCGAGTTTGGAGGGCAGGAGAAAGAAGGCTTCCGAAATATATATATATATATATATATATATATATATATATATATATATATATATATATATATATATATATATATATATATATATATATATATATATATATATATATATATATATATATATATATATATATATATATATATATATATATATATATATATATATATATATATATATATATATATATATATATATATATATATATGACATTTTTTGGAAAAATGATTTTGTATAGAACCATAAAATAATGTTTATTATTACTCTATTATTAATTTTCATAATACTATAACAACATAAAAGATATTTGAAAAATTTATGTAAGCCTTCCAACAACCCTCCAAAATCCTCCTTCAATATAAATTTTGAATTCCCCAAATTAGGGAGTTTTTGGTGTTATGAAGAAACACAAACCCTCCAAAATCCTCCCAACCAAAATCTTTCTATTTTTTTCACTCAATCCTTCCTATTTTCCAAAGCCCTGCCTTTTATTCCCTCCAAACTCCCAAACAAAGCCTAAGTCTATTTTCCATTATCTTTTCTACTATAGGTGTTACCCCAACACTCTCTCTAATATTGTAATTTCTAATTTAATTCTGTCTAGTCTCACGCATCCATGGCAACATACTCGTATACTCTATGTGACGAAAATTATATAGAAAAGTATTAAGCAAATTTATCTATCCCACGTTCTAAAAAAACTACACATTGCTCAAGAAGTGTACTCTTCAAATCTCTTAAAAAAATCCGAAAAGATTTTGCAGTGCAAAAAACTCCTCCCAAATTCATATCTGTTCATTAGTTTTACAATGCAAAACAAGTTTCTTACTTTCTTTTCACAATCACCATAATCTAAAAACCATTAACATCAAACAAAGAGAATCCATTACCTCCATCAAGACCAGAAGCTATAGTGGACTGCCGCGAAAGATTCGCCGATAACTCACAGAACTGACGCTCGTACCCATCAAATACCTCGCTCATGGTTCCCGATTTCTCTTCACCCACCTTTTCAATTCCAAATTCAACAAATGAGATTCAATATAATAACGAACAATTTCAATTCAATTTCATCCACACAAAAAAAGTTGCATATAATTGCAGAAATTGAATCTCAGAAATTAACTATTAAAGTGATACTTGTATGCGTATAGATGAAATGTTGAGAGAGGGTAACGGAAATAATACCGGAGATTGATCGGAAGGATCACCGGAGATTGATCGGCGGAGAGGTGGTGGTGAACACAAACGGAGCTGGCCCAAATGTTTTCCAACGAATTGAAGAAGAACGACGTTTGGTTGGAATCCAACAAACTTAAAAGTTAATTACGGATGTGCCATGGAATTGTCGAGTGTACATTTCTGACCTTTACATTACAAGTTAATTGGCGAGATTTTGATTTTCTTGTCTCTATTTTTTCTAAAAATAATTCTGATCTATTTAGTTTTTGTCTCTCACATTAAATTTTGTTATAAAAAGGCTAACATGATAAATGTTTACGTTTTAATTATTGAATTAGATTGTGACACAATTTTATTATTCTCCCTCAAAAAATCTTAAAAATCTCTAAATACATTTTCTCATATAGTTCCTGTAATTAGGGTTGACAAATTTGAAACTTAAGGGTTTAGGATGATAGAGAGAGGCGACAAAAGTAGACGAAGGAGTCATATGACAAAGGTAGACACTGAGGTAGAAGAAGGGAACATTTGACTTAATAGGACGATTGAGGTTGACGAAAGGAGCACACTATTCAACCATTATCCACGTTCAACATTTGTCACTATTGTAAGGTAAAGTGGGTTTCTTTCATTCATGTTTGGTGTTTGTTCTTGAAAATTATAAGGGAAATTTTCAGAGATGAGTTTTAGTTTGAATTTTCATTATGAGGGTATATTTGTTAGGGACTGTATTTTCTATTATAAAGGGGACATGAACATGCAATAGATGACATGGATCTGTGTATGGTGTTTGGAGCTTTTTTAAAGCTATTGGTATATTGAAAAAGATTAGTGATATTGATCATTCAAAATATAAGTTATGATAGTATAAAAATGATGAGGACAAATATAAGAGAATGTTCAATGATAATGATGTTCATGAGGTTTATAAATATGCCATTAAAATAAAATGATTAGTGCACTTATATGTTGATCATTCTGTTAAAGGAGTAGTTACCCCCGACCCTAACCTTGAGGAGGGTGAACATGGTGATGGAAATAATTTTAAAGAATATGACCAAAGTGTGGAATTAATGTTGAAGAAGATGAATAATGTGATGAAATTAATGTTGAAAAAGATGAACAATGTGATGGAAATAACGTGGAGGAAGATGAACAAAGGTGTGGAAATAATGTGGAAAAAGATGAGCAACATGATGAAAATAATGTGGAAGAAGATGAACAAAGTGATGAAGTGATGTTGAATTAGATTATGATGATAGTGAAGATGAAGCTATTGATATAACATTTGATGATAGTGAGGATGATAGGGCTTTTAGGTTGGATGATGTCTTTCACATGCTTGGTAAAGAAGGTGATGCCAATGACAAAAAAGGTAGGGTAAAATGTGTTGCAAAGAAGAACATGCACACTCCAACGAAACTTGTGAGCGGTGTTGATAATATTGGTTGATATAGATGTATGGATAATGAGATGGAGATTAATTATGCTAGTGATGAGCTTGGTAGCAGGGACCTTGATGCTTCAGATCATGAGAAGAAACCAAAGTATGATAAGTTTTTGGTGGAGGAGTTGAACAAGAATTATAAGTTCAAATTGGGATTTGAAGTTTTTATCATTTGATGAATTTAAATAAGCAATTATTGAATGGTCAGTCTTGAATGGGAGAGAGATGATATTTGTGAAAAATGATAAAGTTAGAGTAAGGGTAATTTGCAAGGGAAAATGTGGATTTTGCAGTTGTAAGTAAAGTTGGAAATAAACATGTGTATAGAATGAAGAGATGGTTTGGTACTCACAAAAGTGCTAGGGTATTGAATAATTGCCCAGCAAATTCCAAGTGAGTATCTAAGTTTGTAGCGACTAGGATGTCATCCTCTAGTGGTGTTAAAATTTATAATATTGTTTCTAAAATTAGGAGTAGTTTTTCTATTGGAATAATTATGAACAGAGTATGGAAGGCCACCTTTATCTAGTAAAAAACATGGCTCAAAAAGAAAATAAATATATGAGTCTTTTTAATAATTTAATATATTAAATGGATATGTTAATCAATTAATCAAGTTAAATTAAGAAAGCTTGAAAATCTACACCACTTAATAGATTAATAGCCTTTCAAATCTATTAGTAAGTGTTGAAAATAAGTTTAATCGATTATATGAAGATCTTAATTGATTAACCAATGTAATTTACTTTCATAATTGATTAACCAACTTTGTAAATAATTAAGCATATGCCCAAATTGGTTTAAAGATATTTTATCAAAAGAGGATAGAGGTTTGAAAAACTTTTTGAGTGTATGTGCATTGTCTTAGTATATTAAGACTTACTCTTGTTCCTTTTGCAAATAATTGATCAAACTAAAATGTTAAGTGCAAGACCACGTAAGCTTTCACACTTTCTCTTTTTCATAACTTTAGGTATTAAAGTTTGTTTACTTGATTTAAACGTTAACACTTCAACTGGAGCTTGATCATATCTTATTGACGAGGCTTTAAATATCTCTTCTTGTTCATATGTCATCTTATTGATGAGGCTTTAAATATCTCTTCTTGTTCATATGTTCATAAATATCCCCATTTGACAATTGTCACAAAAACTCTTGAAAGAGCTAATCAACACCAAAGCTATTTAACTTAAGAGTTTTCTTCTCCAAAGCTATTTGACAATTATCATTAAAATAAGATATTTGAAAGTTGGCATCATAAAAACCAATTAATGGTTATACATGTACAACACATAGGTCACCTTGATTCAAAAGTTTACTTTGGTTTGAGATCAACCTGGTTTAAAATCTCAATTTAGTTTGTGGTTATCTTGTGCAAAACCCTGATTCAATTCATAAGCTTAGCCTAGTCAAAATCTTTCTTTGGTTCAAGATAAGCCTGGAATAAAATTTTAGTGGTTCGTGGTCAGCCTAGTCAAAACCACAAATTGGTTCGCGAGCTCAGTCTGGTTCAAAATCTCTCTTTGGTTCTAGATAAGCCTATGTAAAATCTCGGTTTAGCTTGGGGATTAACCATTTCAAGTTGTTGTTTGAAAAGAAGACTAACTGCTTCAATCCATTGTTTGGAAGGAAGACTAACTGCTTCTCTCCAGTGTTTGTTGTTTGGTTGGAAGTTAGCTTGAAACTTCATTTTTCCTTGTATAATGGGATTCGAGAGTTCAAACTACTAAAAGCTCTTAAGAATTATTGGATACTCCCAGGATCAAATCTCGAGGAGAGTATTATGTCACTTCTTTTCTACCGAACCTCTATAATTTATGGTGTTATCGCTCTTATCCTAAACTCTTTATTTTCTGCTTATTTATCTGTTTGTTATGTTGCAACTGGTTTTTAAATTTGAGAGTCAACATCCTTATTTTTATCCTAAGGAAGGGAGTATAAAGGATAACCCAAAAAAGTTCAGAGATTCTAGATCGTTGACTCGGTTCTAGATGAGGGAAGGTGTTAGGCACTCCCCATCTATCTTGTTCACAATGATACTAGGTTTAGAAGCGTATTTTTAAGAAATAGGGTTTTAATGCTTTATTAGGGAAAAAGGGGTTTGATTTCAATAAGGGAAAAGGTTTTAATTTTAATCAGGGGGACTCACCACGATTTTTGATCGTATGCCTATGTATCCTCTTATGAGGAATCAGAGTCTCATTTCATAGTTCGCGGTTAGTTGGTGTTTTTTATAGGATTACGTAGAATAGCTTTCGAATTTATCCTTGAACTTTGTCTGGGTTGTAAATTAAGTGATCGTAGACGTGGTTCGCAGTTTGATTCGAAGACAGTGCTATTTAATCCTTTTTCGAAAATAGTTTTTGTTATGTTAATAGAAAAATGGTTTATTATTGATTAGCTGTAGAGCGGGGAAAGTCTGATAACGTCTTTCTCTTCACGTGGCCAGATGTTGGCCACATGTCGCTCGCGGATGTATTACTTTGTGAGTTGCATAAATTTTAATTGTTTGTTTGTGAATAATAAACCGGTAGACGATGTGCCGACCGCTTTAATTACTCGAAGATGAACATCCTATTATTATATAATGTTTGAATTAATAATTTTAAAAAAAAATATGAAATTGTGTAAATGTTTATGAATTATATGTGATGAAAATATTTTAAATTAATCGAAAAAATCCTATAATATTTAGGATTAGATAAATTGTCCTAATTAAAATGGTTAGTCATGGTATGTACGAAATAGAAGAAAAATATATAGATCTAGAAATATTTATTTTACCTTAAAATATTCTCTAAATACTTATTCAATACCTATATCCTAAGGATTAAAATTGATTAAAACATAATAATAAAAACTAAGGCTCACAAATATCAAAATTAATAATTAGAGCCTAAGTTTGAAAATAGCCCAACGTGGCAGAAAGACTCAATATATAAAAGAAAGTTAAAATGGAAAGGTAGCATATTAATAGAATCTAATTGAAATTTCAATATCTAATTTGACTAAAATGATAATTAAATAATAAGACATAATGAATTATAAATGACTAATAAATATAAAAAAAGACTATGCAGCCACCAAAGAAAAAAACGTAACAACATCGCTCTACTACTAATTTCTCTTTCCTTGTTTCTTTTTATTATGAAAGAATTGATATACTAATAATAACTTTGTAAGTTAGTAGATAATTTAAAAAAAAAAAAGAAGGCCAAACCAGAAAAAAGACTTGACTTTTCAATATAAAAAAATAGTCAAACATAATTTGACACTTGGCTCAAACAAGAAAAATAACAAAATGAAATATAAGAGAAAGCAGTTGAATCTCACCTTATCGTTTTTGCTTCTTCTTCTTCTTTCTAGTAACCAAAACAAAAACAAATATAGACAAAAGGTAGATCTACAAAAAGCACAATACCCTTCCTCTTTCTCTAAATTTCTTAAACTTCTTCATTAAAATCTAATAATAATACACACAAATTCTCTCTTTCTTGTTTTCCAATGGCAACAAATAACTTCTTACAACCAAATGAAATCAGAAACAACAAGACAACATAAAAAACTCGCTTGGATGGGATCATGGGGGCGCGGCCATAGGATGCGTTGCATATCAGTGGTTGCCTTTTGATCGGGACTTTATGAGTCTGTCGGGATACTAACTGTAAGTATACAGTTCAGTCGTTCTAATTTTAAATGATTATCGAACCCACAGAGACTGAGGATCAATCGCATACGATCTAATGTTACAGTTTGTTTAACTAAGCGATCAATATTCGATTTTAAGGAGGAAACAGTTTAATTAAAAATAATAGTAATAGTTATACCGGTATGTGATAGTCGGACTTCGGGAATTCGGTGAATCGCTTGGCCTATAAAGTATTTCGGTAAAAACTAATTGTTTAAAAACCTGAGACATACACTCTCGTGTTCATGAAATAAGTTATGCTACTAAACCTAGTGGATGCAATTTAAATTTAATAACACTTTTTGAAAATAATTTGAGTTTAATTAATTTATTAAAATATTCTCGTGTATTTAAAAATTAATGTTTCGTTACCACTATCTGGGTTGAACCCCAACTCTCGCATGCAGGTTCTTGCCTTAATTAATTTCCCACTCTCGTGGCAAAATCGTGTTAATTAACCTCTCACTCTCGTGACAAGGGTAGTTAAATTAAGCATGAAAATTGGAAACTAGAAATTGTTTTATAAATAAATATTTTTGGCCAAGGTATCACTGAATTTTTTCGGTTCTTAAGAGTCACATACCGGTACGAATAATTTAGCCGGACATAATAGATTTAACAATAATGCAATTCAAAATATAATTCATAAAAATAATTGGCATAATACAAAAATGTATAAATATTAATTGCAATAAAAACCTGGAATTAACGTTGCTATGGTAATCTTGAAGTGTTACAATATCCTTTGCGGCTTGATTGAAGTAAATAAATTGTGTTAATTCTTGAATGAAGAATTAACACCTAAAAACTAAAGCTTGAAATAATGCTGGAAGTAGGAATTATAATACGTAGGAAATGCTCTAAAACAAGGAAATAAAAATAATTGCAAAAGTAATAATTTTGTTCTGGGAGAATTCCTTCGACCTCTTCAGCTTTGCACTACCACACACATATATAGCAGAGAAAATAGCAGTTGAAAGTATCTTGAGAAAAGGCTTGAGTGGAGGAAATATAGGGAGCATGGTTATTGAATGGAGGGAAAATAGGAGAACAAGTCTGCCCTTACGTTGCCCACGTCTCCACCAATTCACAACGTTCATCTTTACGCGCGTGACGGTCGTCACAGGTGGGTGACGGTCGTAATGCGCTTAAATAGCGCATTACGCTCGTCAGTGATGTGTGACGAGCGTCATTTCAAGTTGAGGGTCGTTACGCCCGTCACGAGGGTGTGACGGTCGTCACTGCTCCAAAATCTCCAAAACTTTGCAGATTTAGTTCTTTTTCTCTTTGTTTATTGTCTAGCTTCCTTCATGTAGT